TTTTTTTTTTTTTTATTATTATTATTTCAAAAATTTTGTTACACTTGTGTTAAAGATCTGTAAAATGCTGATTTTTTGATACTCAAGATAACTAACATCACAAGTAAATAATTTAAATGAAAGTTGGGCGCATGTAAATAAATGCAAACAAACATTAATTATATAAATAAGACCATAAGGTTTTAACTTTTTCGAAAAAACAAAGTTTAGTTTTTTTATATAACCGCATAATTTTTTTTTTGAAGAAAAAAAATTCACAGGAAAAGAAAAAAGCAAAAGATAACACAACATACATATTTATATTATTATTCATGAATTATTTTATGGTTCCCCCACAAACAATTATAGTATATATTATATATATATATGTAATGTAACGATTGCATTGTAACGTGATATTTATATGAATTTATATAATAAAAATTTTTACCTATTTTAAAAATATATCACCTTTTCCAACTTTTTGCATATAAAATTATAAAAGTGCATATGAAATTATAGAAGAAATGCATGGCTAAAAAAAAAACAAATAATAAAGGATTTGTTTACGTTTTAGTTATATATCTCTCATCTTTTGCAAATTAAAAGTGATCGCGAAGAATAATACTTTTTTAAGTAACACTCATAACGTAATGAATGTGGCTTTTTTTTTTTTTAAAGTCACGTTAGGACCTTCATCACTGTTACCATCATCGTCACATTACTTTCATGTAATGAGGCTAAATTTTTTGTGAAAGTGCATGATTTCTCTCGAGAAAATTAAAAAAGAAAATCCAAAAAAACTTTTTGTTAAGAAATGATTTTATTATTAAATGCATAATCAAAAAAATTAAGAAATGAAATAATTAAGTTTTTCCATCCTTTCAAAAAATCACCAATTTTATCATAACTATATTTTCTTTTTGCGTTACATTTCAATCTGTATCACAAAAATAAAAAAGTATTATCAATTAATTAATTTTTATTCCCTTTTTTTTTTTACATTGAACGTTAAATATGGAAATGAATGAATGTTTAAAATGATGTCTGTGCCATAAAATATGTGTTCAAATTGAATGAATCTTGTACTCGATTAATTATTATTCGTTATAAATTAGATTATTTAAATTATTTAAAATTTCTCATTCTAAATTTAATCATTTTAAAAGAAAGAATTTATTAGATGAGAATGTGTGAATGTGTAAATAACATAACCTTATATTATTATTTGCGTTGAAAGATACACATACATGGCTGACCATTAAACAATAACATAACCAAATATGACTGACCATTAAACATAACACATAACTAATGTATATTTATACATACGTCCAGAACCAACGTCAAAAAAAAAAAACATAATTACTTATGTTCACGAAAGTAAATAATAAGAATATCACTTAATTGTAACACTAAAAGGGATTATAATAAAAGAAAATGATTATTATCTAAACTTGGAAATAAAGTTTTTTTTTTTGACATTTTCAATTATATCATTATAATAATTCTAAAAATGGATTGAGTTTAAAAAAAGACCATTCAATAAGAACCTTTTAGGAAAAAGTGAACTTTTGTATCACAGTTTCATCTTTTTGTGAGTCCGCAGTAGAAAAAAAAGAAATCATATCTCCTTAATATAAATAAGGTTAGTTTTCCTTTTTTAAAAAAAATTTTAATATAAAATTTAAATTGTCGTACAAATAATTTATTTTTTCTTATTCCTAATATAGGATTATAATTAAATATATATATTATGTATATGTACGTATTTTGTGTATTTTGTGTATTTAATGTAAGATGTATTTTTATATATTTTTATGTATAGTACAAC